CCCTCCCTTCCTCCCTCCCTTCCTTCCTTCCTTTTTAATGCTTCTTTGGGAACAAAATATCCTACTTCAAACTCTGGCTGGGTGACCTGCACTCCACCACACATGGACAGAAGTTCTAGATAACAAATGGCTTTCTCTTTGGATTTCAGGGAATTCCCACACAAATTACCTGCTAACATGCTAATGGAATGTGCCTTCTGCGTTCTTGTGATGACTGTTAGTCTAGAGGATGTTGTGTCTCATTCTCTGTACAGTGCCTTGTTCATGTGGCAGTTATAACTCCTTCAACACATTCTGACCAAGTTCTTCCCAACTTCTCCCACATCCTATCTGGGACTAGATATCATGACAAGTTTAGCCTTTCTACCTGTCTTCTGTACCTCCCTGAGGATTCCTGAGGTACACTGTGTTCCTAATATGGACTGATCTGTGAGTGCATAGAGTAGGGCTTATATTCATTTTGGTCTGAAGTATCTCTATCAATTAACACTATTCAAGATTATTTAATCAGAAAGAGTGAGCAATTAATGATGTCTACCGTGGGAACAGGAAAGGAGGGTATTTCAAAACTGCCCTCTTTGCTAATATTGATTGGCCTTTGAACCACCAGAAATCTTTAGCTCTCTCATATAAATGCCTGTTAAGTCATATACAGGGAGGGGCAAAACTAGATTTACAGTTGTTCATATGGAAAATAATACAAGAATAATAATACAAGAATAAAATCTGCATTTTGCATACTCACAACTGTAAACATACTTTCGCCCCCCACTGTATTTGTGCAAATGAGTCTTTGAGCCAAAGTGCAGACTTTTTTAATTTTAAATATATTTTATTGATTTTTTTTTACAGAGAGGGATAGTTAGAAACATACATCGATCAGCTGCCTCTTGCACAACCCTATTGGGGATGTGCTTGCAACCAAGGTACATGCCCTTGATCAGAATCAAACCTGGGACCCTTCAGACTGCAGGCTGACGCTCTATCCACTGAGCCAAACCAGTTAGGGCCAAAGTACAGATTTTTTATCCCTCCCCTGCCCCCCAGTTAAACTTGCTACTTTGAGTCCATTGTTTGAACTATCTTTGTTTCTCGCCAATATATTGATCATCACTCCCAGCTTCTAGATCAGCTACAGAGTTGAAAAGATACATTCTATATCTTTCTCTAAATCATCGATATCAATGTTGAGTAGATCATGTGCGGTGTAAGCATAATGGAAATAACAGCAACTGCAAAACAGAAACAACAACAACAGCTGACACACAGTGAGTGCTTCCTATAAGTCAGTCACTGGGTAACGCATTTCATATCTTTACATTGTTTTTCTTATTTTTATCTTTACAACAAATCTATAAATTGATCCTATTATTATCTGTATTTTACAAATGAAGAAATGGGCACAGAGAGGGTTGAGTAACGTGGGTAATGTGGTCACCCAGTCAGTACGTGAACGTTCTTTCAGTTTCCTGGTATGGCGACGCCTCTGGGCCTGGAAAACCACCCAGGACTGGCTCCATTTTCTTCTGCCTTTCTGCATGAAGAGTTTTCTCTCCCTCTAATAGAACAAGTAGGACAAGATGAGGGATAATTACTTCTCTCTCTCATCTAATAATCTGCGCCTTATACTCTGTGCTATTGGGCTCATCACTTCCTTGTTTTTCTTCCCCAAGCACAGCCACAAGTGCCGCTAGTGTTTCTCCATGTTTCGGTTTGTTCTGGGCCTCCGTCTTTCTGACATTGTTCTAAGAGTTTCATCTCTCATTGGCACCCCTTTCCCTCTTGTAACATTTCATCCCACGGGAGGCCCGCGGAACATCTTTGGCTTTTGAGAGGCCTCTCGCCCTTTTCTTCCTAGCCTTCGTAAGTGGTCAAAGATCATGAGATGGAAATTTCATTTTTAAAACCTCTCATCTCTTTTGAGCAAAAGTTCTTTAAAGAGATCTTGACTCTCTCATGAACTCTTTGGAAGCTTCTTTCCTAAAATCTAGGCCAAGTAGAACTGATTCTGCTCCTCTTTCATCATTAAAATCTAGAAGGTAAGTTTTTCATCTCCAAGTTCCTCAGACTTTTGCTCCTGCAACCTATTTTTCCTTTTCTAATATTAAGACCAAAAGGAATAGTCCTTTATTTTTGCTTTTATATTCAGAGAGGTGGGTGAAAATATATGATATTTTATTATAAGAAACATCTTAATGGTTTCAGGAGGATGTGATTCAGTGTATTGACAATGTTTTTTATCTTCTTTAGTGCCTGCTTTTCATATCTATTTTTTCATCAAACAGTTCAAATGTTGTGGTTTGGTCGATGGAGCTTCTGACTGGGGACAGAATTTTCAACCCAATTCTGAGTCGTGTGAATGTTCAGCTACATCAGATTCCCCATGTATAATGTATGAAGGAAAACATGTTTACCAACAGGTAAGAACAAATCAAACTTGTCACAGTAAGTGGTTCTGTTCATTTTTTTTTCAAAATGAAAGACTTCACAAAAATTTAAATTGCAGCAATTATAATGGGAATCATGACATAAACGTCCCAGGAATCTCCCAAATAAAAAAGAAATCCTTATTTAAAGATAAAAGCCAATATAAAAGATGAAAGTATTTCATTTCTTCTATGAGCCTGGCAATCATTTAAACTCAACTCTAATAGATCAAAGCAACATTCTGCTTGCAAGGGGAAGCAACGTCCAAATGAACAGATACACGTTTATGTTGTCCTCTTTTTGGTGACTTTAATTATTATTCTCCTCCATTTTTTTTTCTATTTTAACATAAATTCTAGAAATCTATATTTTCACTTTAATTTTAAAAGTGAAGCTTCCGTTTTCTAATCATAGATTCCTTTTCTCAAGTAACTGTATCAGCCTAAAGAAAGGACTTGGCCTTTGGTGGTTTCAGCTCTGGATTCATGTTTATTTACTGCTTTGTCTCATTAGTGCTCCAATTAAAAGTTGCCTCAGATATTTAAAGTCAATTGAAAAAACTGGGTTTATTTTTTATGTGTTGTAGATGTCCTATTTAACTATGTCACTTGTGGATATCAATATATGCATGTCATATTTCTTACTGCTTAATTCATCCCATATTTCTTGACTACCTCCTATCATCCATTGGAGACCAATTTCTGTGCAGGGCACAGGGTCAGCCCAAATAGGGAGGAGAGAAAGATAACTCGGCAATTTCCATTTAATGAACTATTGGTATTTCTTGGATGGGGCAAGCATAAGTGTTATGGGACACCATCTAATTAAGGGTTGGAGGTACAAGCTATGGCTTCCTAGAGGACATGATATCTGCCTGTTGCCACAGGGTTTTATATAATTTTTTCCTTACGCCTGAAAGGATTGTGTACAGAAATGACAATTGATATGAATGATATTAATGTTTCCTTTATTTGCTATTATACTTGGGTGCCTACTATGTGTCAGACAGACCCTTGTTAGAATCAGATAGACTTCTGGCTCCTCAAGGAGATTATAGTTAGATGGAAGCGAGATCTATAACAGCTATGTGATTCAATAAATTAATTTCTGTAATGCCTTAAGATCATTTTCAATTTAGTATTGGCTTAGTAATGGCTACTGAGATGAATTACATTTCCGGACATAGAAAGTGTCTCAGGAGAAACGTCTCTCCTGCTTACTAGCACATCCCTTTTACTAATCTTATCACAATGAAGGAGGCTGTGTTCTGAAAGGGAATGTCGGTTACTGGTGTTTAAAGTAACAGGTGGGGAAGAAGTTATCTATCCGACTACACAGCTACCCTGTCTTTCATTGTCCAAGTAATACTAGTAAAAATATTTTATTCTTACTTTTTATATTTCTCCCTGCTCCCTTCCTCTACCTAATGTTAGTGACATGGTATGTATGAGGAAGAGAGAAATAAATATGATAAAAGCAAATGTAGTTTCTGCTTGGGATGATGAAAATGGTAAATTCAATAGCAAATTGCAGATTGTTGTGTTCTGGTAAAGATTCAATGCAAAGATGTTTTTCCTTGGGATACATTTTGAAAAGTCCTAACATTATCCTCAAAAACAATAGACATTCCCTCCAAATTCACACATAATTCAGCTGAATACAGGGTGATAGCTTCACCAAGTTTCCCAACAGGATGGTCATAAATTCACAAAATACTTCCATCTGCCTTGTGTCATTTGCAAGAAGTCTGGAAAAATAAGAAATCTGAATGGCCATAATTTGTTTCTTCCCCCACCCCCCACCTGCCTTCTCTTTTGCCAAGATAACCTGGTTATCTAAAGGGGATGGGGGAGAAAACTCCTCAAGCGTAACAAATATGACTCCATAGATCATTAATCGCATAGTTAACCCTAAATAATGTAATCACTTCTAATGTTGACCACTTTGGATCAGATGAGAATGGAGAAACCCAGGCAGAAACAAAGGGGGGAAAAAACCTTATGGAAAACTTATATTTTATTTAACAAATAGCAATATTTTGCTAGCCCATTGAACATATAAGACTATTATGGGAATGAAATGTTTTATGTCAATACAGATAATAGGACTATTACATTGTGCAGTATTTTTCATTTTTAAAATTATTCATGTAATTTACAATTTTTGTAATATTTAGGTTGGTCTGAAATTTTTTAAGGTTGGAATTGCATACTGGTTTGAATAAATTTAAAAAAATGTGGTAGAGAGATAACTTCCAAAATTCTCCTTTTTTATCTCAATTAAGGGCATAATAGTGGACATAAGATTTTTAAGCTAAAAATTACTGATAAGTATTAGAAAGGGAATTTTTATAAACCTCCTTTTAAAAGTGAAACATTTCACTATAATTAACTGAAACCCCAACCAGAGAGAACTCCGGTTGTAATCTGCAGATTACAAACCTAAAAATATACATAGCCAATGTCATAACTCTAAGTTGCCAGTTAAGGTAAAATTATTATTATTTATAACTAGAGATCCCTAGATTCAGCAATGACGTAGCTGAAGCAAAATTTTGCTCCTTGAGTGCTTGCTATAACCTTTCAGATGGGGGGAGGAGTTTGAAGCAGAGGAGATAATCCAATTCCTTTTTGTTGAATATGTTTCTTGGTAACAGTGCAAAAAATCAACCCACTGGGAAAAAAAAAATCTTAATTCTGATAAGGTCATCAAAATGTGATTAAAGTTAACTTTATGTATATATTTTTTAACAGGCATGCATTACTTTTATAAAAGACATACTCAAAAAAAATCTCCTCGTAATTATTGGATTAGCATTTGGAATAGCATTTATTGAGGTACAGTATAACCTTTCATTAATTACTCTATTTATTCCCTTGCTTGTCCATTAATCCTGCTAGCACATTTCTGGTGAGCCAAGTAAAAACCAGGTGCTTCAGACAAGCACTGAGTACCAAGTGCCAAGGGCCAGCTTCTCCCTCTGCCAACCTTGAGTCTGGGGAGGGGATTACAATTGTAGGAATTGAGCCTGGCTAAGCCTATTTTTGAATGATCTCTCGACTGGGGAATCAATTTTGAATTAACTTCCACATAGTTCTTAGTCCCATATATCGTTTTCCCATTGGAATCTAATGCAAGAGTTAAAGTTAGAAGAAAGAGCCCAGACAAATCCAAAACACAGTCTTTACATTTTCTTATCTCTCCTCCTGATTTTGAAAGAGAAAATAAAAGCTGAACTCAAGAGTGTGGGGAGCTGTTTTCCTGCTATTCCATTCCACAGAAATCTAATTAGTTTTAAAATTTTGAAGCAGTTGCCTTTAATTTTCTCATTGAGTAAAAATTCTCAAATGTGCTCTCATCAATTTAATTATTGAGGTTGAAAACAATTCCTGAATAGGGTTTTTATCTGGACGGCCTTACTTGGCATTTTTTAAAAGAATCTGAATGATACTTTTTACATGGCCTAAAAATGTTTGCCAAATAGATGAAATAAAAGGATCTCAGGGAAGGGTTTTTGGAATCATTTCAGCTCTTGGTGAATATAGATATCAGGTGAGTCAAATTCCCTTGCATCCTGTGCAGGGCATTGGCAGGAGTCCTGATGAGGTGTGGGGTGTCTCTGGTTAACGCCTCTGAGGGCTGGTGAGCTCAGCTGAGCGGCTGCTGCTTCACTTGCATGGAATGCTGTACAGCGTCCTCCTTGGGATTTCTGGTACCTTTTTACCTTTTGTGCCACATCAGTGCCAGAAAGGAATTTTAGTTGGGACTGAAGCAATTTAGTGTCCTACGCGGTCATTAAGGTTACTGGTGGAATTCCCAGCCAATCATTAGAAAAGGGGTTGGGACAATTAGCAGTAAATTGGGGTGTTGAGTATTCTTTCTGGTAGCCCAGAATAGGTCTACATATGAAGCATTCTCTGCTGGAAACATGGATGTCCTTCTCTACATCTGATATATGATCGAAGTTGAATAGTGTGATTTCTAAACTATATGTAGATATGATAATTGGCTTAAACTTAAAGTATTAAGTCTATTTCTCTTGATTCTTCCTTTTTCGAAATGTCCTTTATTTCTCTGCTTTGTATTCTGGGTTAATGTTAATTTAGAAATGTGAGCTAGTGGCCCTAGAGGTGAGAAAGAAATCACACACACATACACTTACATATTTTCATAAGTCACACACACATGTGTTGCAAGAATAGACTTTAAATGAATGGTTGAAAGAGCAGGCTTTAAATGAAGTATTCAATGCAAGTATCAATATGTGTCAAATTCCATATTAGACTCAAATTGACTATGACTGGCTACAACCCACAGATGCTTTTAAGAAGTTTCTCAAAAGGAAAGCCAGAGAAAATAAGGACATAATCAACTGGGGAGTTTGATATCTCATACAGTGGGGCCTTGACTTACGAGTGTCCCAACTAACGAGTTTTTTGAGATACCAGCTGTCTCTCGGCCGATTTTTTGCTTTGAGTTGACAGAGCAATTTGAATTAATGAGCTCCTTAACGCGATCCTTAATGAGCTCGGTCTCGGAACAAATTAAACTCGTAAGTCAAGGCCCCACTGTATATCATAGTCAAAGGCATTGCCAAGAATCTAAATACATGTAATGGAAAGTAAGATTATAAGAGGAGTAACATAGTCTATGAAATTGGTATATCCATGTGTTTGTTACATATTTAGATACTTTATTGAGTGTTCTAAATATATGATTAGGGAAATACCTTTTTATGGGTATGAAATTATATATGTTAATATCATAAAATATAACATTTTTAGTGATGCCAGTTAGTGTGATTTCTAGACTATATGTAGATATGATAATTGGTTTAAAGAACCATAGCCTTGCCCTAACCGGTTTGGCTCAGTGGATAGAGCATCAGCCTGCGGACTGAAGGGTCCCAGGTTCGATTCCGGTCAAGGGCATGTGCCTTGGTTGCGGGCACATCCCCAGTAGGGGATGTGCAGGAGGCAGCTGATCGATGTTTCTCTCTCATCGATGTTTGTGGCCCTCTATCCCTCTCCCTTCCTCTCTGTAAAAGATCAATAAAATATATTTAAAAAAAAAGAACTATAGCCTTGAAAATAGTCTGATATTCAGCCTATAAAAATGTATCCAAAAATGTACATTAGTCTATCTTATACTCATTATTCCTAGTTGACTAACACTTAGGCCCGTTTCTAAGGCTTAATACCTAGACCTTGTTTCCCAAGTTTACATTCAAATAAACACAAAGACTCACAGAGAGAAAACATATCTTTCTAATAAATATTTTTAAGAAGGAAACAGGGGCAAATATCTCCATGCATAAAATATATTCAAACTATCTCCATTAAAATATCATATGAAAACATGACCCTGTGACATTTAGACTGTTGGCATTAGTCTGTTTATGCATAGGCTCTGATGGAGTGGGCCAATAGTCATTTTCAAGACTCTAAGTAAGACCACATAGCTGGGCAATTCTTCTTAGAGAAAATGTATGAATCTATGCAAAATGCTTTATTTTGCAAGAAAATGCTATAGACATTCTTGGAATCCTCATTATTCCAAGTTAAATAATCAGACCATCATAACATACCTCGCCGTATTTGACTATAGAACTTACAAGCCCAAAAATGATCAGCACTTTCTCTTCTCATTTCAACTAAGAAAAAAGGGCACTGACACTGGTAGTCATCACTTTGTAGGATAAATGTTATCCTGACAGAAGGTCCCAAGAATAACATAGTTAAGAGAGAGAAAAATGATAACTTTACATTTTTTTTAGACTTTTCCAGAATAGGGGAACTCATGCACATTACGTATAGCAAGTTTATCCTGAGTCTTCGCATACATTACCATATGATGGATCTCGTTTTAATTACCTGCTATTTTTATGAACAATAATAAAAAAAAATTTTCAGAGGCAGCGAAGTACAAGAAAGTGGGATATTAACTATCTAGTCAGCTGGTAAATATCAGGCTTCTAATTCAAGGATGTGACGATGAAAGATGATAGTTGCCTTATCTCAGTATTTTGTCCATGTCTTTATTCTTTCCTGATACCTATCTCCCAGACTTGAGGCTTGGGATCAAGGCAAAAAGACTAAATTTCCAGGCTTTTTGAAGTCATTCTAAAAGAATGACTTTGAGAAAGCTCTGAATGAAAAATCATTATTTTTTTCAGAGAGCTGGTGTCTGCTTTTTTTCTTTTTTCTTTTTTTAAGGCGACAAATATTGGGCAGTAGTTCTCATCTGAAATGCATTTTCAGGAACAAATTCTTAAGCAGGACGTCTCAGTATAGTAAGAGCACTTGTGACGACTCAACATAAGTAGCAGCTCACCCTCCTCCTGCCTCCCCTCAAAGCAGGCTGGTGTGGAGGAAAACTTTTGATTGGTAAAACACACAGGTCCTTCTGTCATTTCTACATCAAAGCCACGGCTTGCAAGTCACCAACTACAAAGACACTTAGGGCAAGTTTTGAGATGCCTCATTCTTGGGAGAGCCACTTAATAAATGGGAAACTATGCCCCAGATTTTCAGCTGTGTTGGTTCACTTCAGAGGAAATTTCCAAATTAAGCTATTCTCCATAGATTTAGAAGTTTGTTGTTGTGTTTTAAATGTTACTTTTTTTTTCACTCCTCTTGGCAATGCCCTCACTATGGCAAGAGAAATTCTAGACTCCTTGATTTGTATGCAGATGATCTAACCCAGAGATCATAGCTGTTTCATGGAAGCAATAGGTATATTGAGCGTCCAGAGGCCCAAGTTCCCCTGAGCTCTGGGGCAGATGCCCCACAGAAGGGTGTGTGTCCCCCAAAGTTGGAGTGCTGTGGGGCAGCAGCTACTGAACAACCAGACTGGGCAAATTAGAGGTGGACTGGCAGCAGAAAACCCTGATTAAAACAGTTCACTCAGAGAACTTTCTCAATGCTCTCTTGTCCCATGGGAGTCTCTAATTTCCCAGGAAGAGAGATGACGTAGGTTAAAAAGCTTAAAAGTGTCCATGGCCAGAATCTTTTCCAATATAATGTTCTTTCTGTCTATTTATAATGCATTTTCCCTTGAATTCCATGTTAACTCTATTGTTTTGTTTTCTAGATACTTGGTCTGGTATTTTCTATGGTCCTGTTCTGCCAGATTGGGAACAAGTGAATCTGTGGATATGTCGAGCTTTCATCAGTCAAGCTCCTTAAAATGGTTGCTTTGCCTTTGTAACTTTAAATATATGAGTGCTGTCTATGTTAGGAGGAGCTGTCTTATTAAAATTTCTTTATTTAGCTAGACTTTAGTTACCTCCCAGACATATTGAATATACTTAGGATTTTAGTGATGCTAGAAAAGTAATATAAATGTGCATTTTTACTCAAAATAAAAGTGACATTCTTTACATTGGTGCTTTTTTGTGTCCGATCATTGTGTTCAGATGGTACTGTGCTTAAAACATTCATCTGGAGCCAGCCAGGGGAATAGCCATCCTGAGTGACAGGTAGTCAAGGCAGTGCATCTAGGCTCTTCAGAAGCAACACTGTTTTGTGTGGTGTCTCAGCCATTAGTCATAAGATTAAATTAAGTCACAATTTGAAAGACTGAGATAGTGGGCTGGCTCCTTGCTATTTATGCCAATGTCTACAGATGGTGTCTCTCTTTTCTCTCTATTAACGGGACAAGAAGATGTGAGTGCCGTCTTTCTAGCCACTGACTCTGTGATTTCTCTCTGGACCTTCTCTGGAACATAGTTACAACAGCTTCTATCTTTCTAGTTCTCACAGACATGTTTACATTCTACCTTTTCTTGAGGTATAAGAGACACACAGTAAGGTGAACAATCTTAGGTATGCACCTGTGTAAGCATGATGAGATCAGGATACAGGACACTTCTAGCACACCAGAGTGCCCCTGCATGCCACCTGCCAGTGCTATGCCAGAGCAGAGTATCCATACTCGTCTCTTCCCCACTCTGTGCTCAGAAGCATCACACAGAGCTTTAAATCCATGGTGGTGGGAGTATTTACACGATGGAAACTGGCAAATGGCATACAATTGGGGATTTTTTCCCAAGAGCTGGTTGTTAAACAGTTACTAGTATGTCACCGTCCTTCTCAGCTAATACCTTCCCAAAGATAACCACTCTTCTGAATTTATTCTATGGCCAAAGATTCATTTTGCCTATACTTGAACATTCTATAAATGGAATAGTCTAATTTTCACTCTGGCTTCTTTCTCTTCAACATTCTGTTTGTGAGGTTCATCTATATTGTTGCATGCAACTGTAGTTAATTTTCATTGTTATGTAGTATTTCATTGTAGAGGACTATATATCACAATGTATTTATCCATCCTGCTGCTGACAGGCATTGTTGGATTTGCTTCCAATTCGGCATTATTGTGAATAAAGCTGCTATAAACATTCTTGTACGTTTTTAAGTCTGTATCTGCACTCCTCTTCTGAGGAGGAGAAAGAGGAAGAAAGGCAGTTGTTGTCAAGTAGATGAGAGTGACCAGCAAGGAGTGGAAAACTTGGGGGCATGCTGGCTGGGTTACACAGCCTGATTCTGTGCTCCCCTATTGATGGTAAAGGTAACTGGCCTCTGAGTACAGGCCATGTCCCAGAAACTCTACTTTTATTACCTCATTTCTTCTTACCACATTCTTATGAGGCAAATACTATCTATTATTATCCTCATTTTGCTGGTGAGAAAATAGAGAATTAGAGCTCTCAGCTCAGATCCAAACCATTAATAACTGGCAAAACTGGGACACAAACCTTGACTCTTGTCTCCCAAGCCTTGGATGAGAATCATTATTTGGCTTTCCCATGACATGTCTATTAATAAATTTTCCATATCTTATCTAATAATAGACAAACATGGTAATTGACTGTACCTTTGCTACACCTCATTGGCTAGTCAGTGTGGTATGCAAATTAACTGCCAACAAAGATGGCGGTTGATTTGCATACTGCAGGCAGGGCGGTCCAGGGCCAGCAGCCATCCAGGCCCCCATGTGCCGCCTAAGCCCTGCTGCCAGCTGGGACCCCTGTGTGTGACCCTGGGTGGCAGAGCTTGGCAGTGCAAACGTGCTGCCTAAGCCCCGTCCCAAGCCGGGACCCCCATGTGCAGCCCTGGGCAGCGGAACCCTGCGTCCGTGATTATGATCGGAAAGCCAGGCCACAGGCAAGGCAGCACCCCGGGACTCAGGAGCTGCCCTGCCTGCAGCCCATGATCGTGATCACGATCGGGAAGCCGGGCCACAAGCAAGGTGGCACCCCGGTACCCAGGAGCCGGTTGGCAAGGTCTGCAGGTGAAGCAGCAATCAAGCTATGAGGGAGAGGGTCGGGGGGGGGGGCGGAAGGAGCTACAGGAGCAGCTCTGGCTGGAGACTGAAGACTCCCACCAGAGCGAGGAGCAAAGACTGAAGGTTCCAGCTGCTGTGAAGACTGTGTCCAGAGCAAAGATGGAAGGTGGTGGCCAGAGTGAAGGTCTGGGTCCCAGGTGCCAGAGGAAAACTGGTGCTGGCAGCCAGGGGAAAGAAGGCCTATTGCACAAATCTTCATGCAATGGGCCTCTAGTTGTATTATAATTACCTGTTCATGGTTTGCCTCTGTTAGTATACTGCAAGTCCTTAAAGGCATTAGTTATTTCTTAATTGCCATTATGTTCCCAGTACCTATTGGAGGGCTTGTCACATAAAGGGTACTCAATAAACTATAGCTAAAAATAATACTTTAGCTATATTTATTGAGAGCCTATTATATACCTAAACTATTCTAAGTACTTTGCATGGGGGTCACTGATTTAATCCAGAAAGACACTCTTACGTTAGTGCTATTTTTTTAGTATATATTTTTTTGTTGATTTCAGAGAGGAAGACAGAGAGATATATAGAAACATCAGTGATGAGAGAGAATCGTTTATTGGCTGCCTCCTGCACATCCTCTACTGGGGAGGATTGAATCCACAACTTAGGCATGTGCCCTTGGCCAGAATCAAACCTGGGATCTTTTAGTCTGAAGGCTGATGCTCTATCCACTGAGCAAAACCAGCTAGGGCAGGTTAGTACTATTACTAGATCCAATTTACAGACGAGGAAACCAGGGCTCAGTAAGGTTAACTAATTTTACTTAAGTTATGCAGCTAGTTCAGTGGAGGACTTGTGATTCAGTCTAAGTAACTCAAAACCTGTGCTCCTTACGTCATACCATTTTGCCCTACCTTACAGTGATTCTGAGAGAAGAGGGTGAGGAAGTGAATATGGAAATGCCTCTGCATAGTGTCGGGCACATATTAGGACATGTTATGGTATCAATGGCATAAGGAACTAAAACAGAAAAACAAAATCTCTAGCTATTTAAATAATGGAAATATAGTAGAGGGAATTGCTATATTAGTCAGCTTGGGCTGCAATGACAAAACACTATAATAGTCTAGTTGGCAAACTGCGGTTCGCGAGCCACATGCGGCTCTTTGGCCCCTTGAGTGTGGCTCTTCCCAAACCTTAGGAGTACCCTAATTAAGTTAATAACAATGTACCTACCTATATAGTTTAAGTTTAAAAAATGTGGCTCTCAAAAGAAATTTCAATCGTTTTACTGTTGATATTTGGCTCTGTTGACTAATGAGTTTGCCGACCACTACTAGTGGGCTTAAGCAGCAGACATTGATTTTCTCACCATTCTGGAGGCCGGAAGTCCGTCAGCGTGCCGCAGACCCGTTCTTGCTGAGAGCTCTCTTCCTAGCCCATGGATGAATCACCTTCTTGTACTTTGCATGGGGGTCACTCATTTAATCCATAACGACACTCTTAGGTTAGTACTACTTTTTAAGTATGTATATTTTTATTGATTTCAGAGAGGAAGGGGGAGAGAGATAGATAGAAACATCAGTGATGAGAGAGAATCGTTGATGGTTCTCACATGGCAGAGAGAGAAAAAATGAGCTCTGGTGTCTTATAAAAAACACTGATCCCATTGGATCAGGGTTTCATCTTTAAGATATCATTTAACCTTAATTACTTCCTGATGCCAAATACAGCTACCCTGAGGCTTAGGGCCCAAACCTGAATTTGGGGAGGGAGAGGACAACATTCAGTCGGTAGCAACTGTTTATACAGATGATAGAAGAAGAAGCCAAACAGGATAGCAAGGTAAACCAGAAATTAGCAACCATAGGAAGTTGCTACCACCCTTAGACTGGAAAGACGGAGATAACGGAACCCATGGCAGAGACCACAGAGGGAAGGATGTCTAGGAGGGGACTCAAGGGATATTGTCAGAACAGAGAAAGGGAGAAGTGCCCAGGTTTATTCCCTCCTGCCCACTCCAGACTTTTGCCAGTACCTCCCACTGGCTGAAATCACCTAGAGACCAGGAAACAAGGGCTCCTGGGTAATGTAGTTCCTCTGATTCAAAGCTAAGCTGAATGTGGCAAGGACTGCACTGAGCAGACTGGGAAGACTGTCTTAGCAATGGGAGGTTTCGAGAGCAAGCACACAGGTGCTGAACTCTGATTAAGTTGTAGAAAGCATAACAGGTTTAATATTCTTAGGAGACATGGTACAACGTTTCCTGGGTTTTTTCTGTTTTGACAAAAATTCAAAGCATTTTAGAGATATAACTTTTTAGGTCTGTTGTTCCTAACTGGGAGACATTTGCCTCTCAGGATAGGTGGCAATGTCTGGAGATACTTTGATTGTCACAACTGGTGTGGAAGGGCAATGTTACTGGCATTTAGTGGGTAGAGACCAGGGATGCTGCTAAACATCCTACAATGCACAGGAATGTGACCCCATAACAAAGAATTATATGGTCCAAAATGCCCATAGTGCTGTGATTACAAAACCTCGCTTTAGAGAATCACGTCTGAATAACATGGCCTCTTGCCCCAGGGTAGGAGGTGCCTGTTATCATGGAGAGTGAACTGCACTGGGGTCAGGAGTCGTTTTAGGCCCTGCTCTGAACTTAATGACTGTGTGATTTTTGCAAGTCACTTAAGTCTCATCAACTCCAAATGAGAACTTTTATCTAGAAGATATTTATCTGCTTATGATATTTTATTGAAGTCTTAATTTTGATCTTTGGTACTGAAGGTAATTATAAGGGAAGGATATTAAAATCAGATTTAAGAGTAAGCTCATCTTTTACCTTCATGCTTCCCAGAACAAACCACAATATTAAAAAACATATTACATTTTATTAAATTACTTGAGAACATAGCAAGAAAAAAATAAAAAGAAACTGTGGTCAAATTGATAACTCAATGTAGGTAGAAATGTTTCTTCTAATTAAGAAAAATGTAGAAATTATCTCCATTATGTTTAAGATTATACAATTGCACTCATTTAGATATATAAAATATATATCATGTTTTTACAAATGCTTCTCAAGTCTGTCCATT